TCGCCGTTCAGGAGCCGAAGGATGTGTGGCGAGGGAGGGAGGGAGGGAGAGAGGAGAAAAAGGAAGTGTGTGCGGAGGGGAGGGCGGTCCCCAGAGAAGAAGAAAGCACTGTTCCAGGATGGGGGTACCACTGGCCTAATGCACAGTTCTTTCGACTGGAATCATTCCAAGCACCATTGAGTCTTAATCGCCAAGTTCCACTGTTTGGTAGAAGCAAAAGTAAACCGTCATAAAAGAAAACAAAGAAAAACCTTCCTGGCAGAGGACCTTCTTGAGCCACCTGCATCCCAGTCGAGAGACATCAGCGCATCCCAAGGCCAGAGGTTTCCACGGGCCCCTCAGTCAGTGTGGAAACTCCTGGAGGCCGGGAAGGATGCGGAAGGACCTCGTGGGCCTGGCGACCCTTCACCAAGTCAGTCCCTCTCCCATCTGGCCCACATTCAACAGATGACCGCTGGGACGCCTTGTCATCTCTCCTGAGAAAGACACCAGGTGACACTCCGAGGAGACAGTGCTGGGAGGATTTAAAACACATCCTTGCACTTCTGCTCTGCTGCTGGAGAACGACCCCTGGCCATGGGATGCGGGCTGTCTTGGAAAGACACTTTTTAAGAAAAAGTATGTAGGCCTGTGATGTAACTCTAGGCCCTTAAACGAAAAACATTGTCTCTATGTCACCATCTCCCACACAAAGGCCATCAATGGCAGCTAGCTTGCGCAAAGTCAGGCAGTTCTTGCAACACCTCCATGATGAGGTCACCACAGCCCCTCTGGATAGTTCCTGGATGCTGGGAGCTGCCAGGACACTCGTCCACGCCTCCTGTAACTGCTTTCTTCCAGGTGGATGAGACAAAGCAGCACTCAAAACTCACCTAGAGCCCAAGCAGCTGGCTCCTGGGTAGAATATTCAGGTGCTCCTCAGGGTGACGGGTTGTATTGGTCACTTGGCCCAGTGATGCCTCCATCTGGTGGTCCATTAGAATCAGTCTGAAAGGACAGAACCCAAAATGGAGTTTCTTTGGTTCTCTGGTCACCAACCTTGAGCAGACCTTGTCATGTCCTTAGGTCGATGTGGCATACACAGCAATAATCATTAACTAGAAGAACCATAAGTTTTCTGTCCCTTGGGTGGACTTCATTTTACTCACTCACAATATGCTAAAATTAGCGTCTCCCAAGAATTTTTCTTTCACCATTCCTGCCTGGCTCTTAGTTTATCACCTTTGTCCCAAGAAGTTGTCTTTCTTTTTTTTTAAGAAAGAAAAGTTTATTTAAAAGTAAATTAGAGAGAGAGAAGGGAGAAAAGTGGAGAATTTGTCTTTCAATTACTGACCCAGTCCTTCTCGTCTATGTGATTGGCCACCCATGACTGACCATCCCCATCTAGATGGTCCTCAGAGATATGAGAAACAGATCACCACCACATCACCATGGCAACAGCTCCTGTGTTATCTCTCCCAAGAATGCTTACCTACCCCCCTAAAGGAAAGCCTTAAAAATTCTCAGCTTCAAGCACTGGCTGCCAAACGTTCCTTAAGTGTTTGGTCCCTTCTCCAATCTTGGAGAAGGGAATCCACCCTCTCTCTTTTCTAATCTACTTTCTAAATAAGCTTTTTTTCTAATTTCTGGTCAATTTGTTACATATCTGTGGCATCAACTCAGCTCACTGACCTAACACAACCAACAGGTCTTATTTTTTAAATATAGATTTCTGGTTTCTCTCTTTTTTTCTGAGATAGGGTTTTTCTCTGTCACCCTTGCTGGAGTGCAGTGGTACAATTATACTTCACCGCAGCCTTGAACTCCTAAGCTCAAGTGATCCCCCTGCTTCAACCTCCTGAGTAGCTGGGACTACAGGTGTGCGCCACCATGCCTGGCTAATTTTTTTATAGAGATGGGGTCTTGCTTTGTTGCCTAGGCTGGTCTCAAACTCCTGAGCTCGAGCAATCCTCCCACCTCAGCCTCTTGAGTAGCTGAGACTACAGATATGTAGATATGTGCCACCATGTCTGGACAACGTTATTCATTTTTGTTGAAATTGGCTCTTATTATGTTGCCCAGGCTAGTATCCAGTCCCGGACCTCAACCAATCTTCTCACCTCAGCTTCTCAAAACACTGGGATTACAGGCATAAGCCACCATGCCTGGCCCCTGGGGTCCACTCTTGACCCATTCAGTTGAATTCTCTGGTGGTGGCTGTTGGTAGACAGCATCTTACTCTGAAGTGGGAGCTGACTTTTGGGAAACCTAGGCAGGGAGCAACTAGGAGCACAGCTAATGAAGAAGCAAAGAACCTTGGCCACATCCTCAAAGTCTGAGTAGACTGAGGCAGGACCAGGTGAAACTGATGACAGTGAGGTTGGGCTAACTCTTCTCAGAAAGGGGAAGAAGAGAAGAAAAATGACTATAACATGTCCCTATTCATGTAAACTGCTACTCAGGACTCTTGACTATAAGCGATGGAAACCCACTTGAACTAGTTTCCACAAAAGGGGACTGTGTTGGAAAGACACCATGGTGCTTCACGTGAGAACAGAGTGGGAAGGGTGTGGTGAAGCCTCGCAGGCAGCCAGGATGACCTTGGAGGCTGACAGGACTTCCTCTCCAGCTGGCCTCATTGTTTCCTTATTGCCGGTTTAGTCCTTCCCAACAAGACCAGCTTCTTCCATGTAAGGAAAAAATGGTGTTTTCAGACTTTTCATTTTATGACCTGAAACATAGATGGAATGTCCCTCTCCTGTGGACCCAACTTGGAATGTTACCGGAGGGGAGCTAGATGGGCTCATTCTGGGCTGATGGACAGAGACAAGGGAGGTGAGAAGGGGACTAGCCACCTCAGAGTGGCTGGAATAGGAGAAAGAGTCATTTCCTGAGGGATTACTCTTTTAAAAGAAATCAAATTTGGCAGGCAGACTAGTACATACCCATGCTGTCATCTGCCACAAACAGTTCTGGATGAGGGTCTGCACCTTAAAACCGTTGGAAATTGCCAGTGGTACTGTCTGAGATTATCTTGGCATATCATCTTCACTGCCTCCAGGATATGGTCTCTCAGCTCCTCCCTATTGAGGTAGATGTCTCCTGTGTAGGCTTTGCACATCAGCTTATCTCTTAACTCATTTATGATAGTTGCATCACTTAACAATGAGACACATTCGAAGACATGTGTCAATGAGCAATTTTGTCATCGTGTGAATATTGTAGAATGTACTTGCGCACCTAGATCATGTAGCCTACTACACACCTGAACTCTGGTATAGACTATGGCATCTGGGCTATGCAACAATACAACATGTGACTACACTTAATGCTGTAGGTGAGTGTAACACAATGTATTTGTGTATCTTAACATAGAAGAAGTACAGTAAATATATGGTTTAAAAGATAGAATATGGCACACTTGTCCAGGGCACTTATCATGACCAAGACTCGCAGAACTAGTCGTTGCTCTGGTGAGGCAGTGGGTGTTGGTGAGTGTGAAGGCCTAGGACACTACTGTGTACCACTGTAGACTCTGTAAACACTGTGCCCTTGGGCTGGCTGACCTGGTGTCAGTTGAGATCTCTGGTGATGTCAGGGGAGACCTTCCTGAATCGCTGGGCTGGGCAGCCAACCAGGGCAATAACTTCACAGGGTTATGAACTGCAAGGCCTTCAGTTGATTTACTTTTCTCCTTCACTTCTTCCTCTCCTTCCTCATCCGAGATATGGCATCAGAGGATCATATTTGCCTTTTCTTTCTTGGATCAGCCTGTTAACTGATCTGTGTCCTTATTATTTATCAGTCACTACTCCTACCCATAACATAGAGAACTTCCATTGCTACTGTCTTATCTTTCCCATCTTTATATATGTTTTTCAATATTGGTGTTTGCCTCTGTAATGGGCAATTGAAATATAAAGCATAGGACACCCCATCCCCAGTCATAGAGGTAAAGAGTAGAACACTGGTTGGTGGGGCTGGGAGGAGTGGTGGGGAGGGTAGAATGGGAAGAGATTTGCAATGGGTGCAAAGTTACAGCTAGAGAGGAGAAGTCATCACCAGAGAAATGCAAATTAAACCACAGTAGGATACTACCTACCCCAGTCAGGATGGCTATTTATTAAATATCAAAAACAACAGATGTTGGCATGAATGCTGAGAAAAGGGAACTCTCATACACTCTTAGTAGGAATATGAGCTAGTTCAGCCCCTGTGGAAAGAGGTTTGGAGACTTCTCAGAACTAAAAATAGAACTACCATTTGATTCCACAATCTCACCACTTAGTGTCTATCCAAAGGAAAATAAAGCGTTTTATTGAAAAGACACATGCACCTGTATGTTTATCGCATCACTATTCACAATGACAAAGTCACGGAACCAACTTAAGTGTTTAAAAATGGATGACTGGATAAAGAAAATGTGACCCATATACACCATGGAATACTACTCAGCCAAACAAAAAAGAAAGCATGAAATAATGTCTTTTGCAGCAACATGGATGCAGCTAGAGACCATTATGCTAAGCAAAATAACTCAGAAACAGAAATTCCAATGCCTCATGTTCTCATTTGTAAGTGGGAGCTCAACGATGGGTAACATGGGCATCAGGATGGGAATCGAAGACACTGGGGACTCCTAAAGGGAGGAGGGGGTGGGGAAGCACGGGTTGAAA